TGAGGGCTGCTGGGAGCAGGGGGCGGGGCTTGTTGCATGTGCCCGCCCCCTGAGCTCCTTACTGCCGGAGCTCCGCTCCTGTGCGCTCCTGCAGGAAATGACCCCTGTGTCTCCCTAGCCTTCCTCTGCAACACATACCTTCTGAACCGTCTGCTTCGATATGTCCCCAGAAGAACACTGAGATCGGCTGATAACGACTTGCTGGTGATTCCCAGCCCTAAGGCGGTCCGGCTATCCTCAGGTAGGGTCAGGGCTTTTTCGGTCCTGGCCCCGACGGGGTGGAACTCTCTGCCAAATAACATCAGGGCCCTGCGGGATCCGATGCAATTCCGCAGGGCGTGTAAGGCAGAGATTTTCTGCCGGGCTTTTAGTTGAATGAAGGGTCGAGACCGGCACCCCCTCTTTTTTTGCTACAGCCCCCACATGCCCCTCCCACCCTGCCGTGCAGGACAGCGGTGTGGCCCGCAAAGGAGGATTCCTTTTATTGCCATCTGGATTGGTTTCAATCCCTCGTTTTATTTTTAGCAATCTTAACTATATATGAACTGTATTTTAAATGTTTATAATGCGGTGGCTCAAGTGGTTAAGACGATGAACTGCAGACCGGAAGGTCGGTAGTTCGGCAGTTCGAGACCCGAGTGCCGCCTGACGGAGCGAGCTCCCGTCTCCTGCCAACCGAGCAGTTCGAAAGCAAGAAACTGCAAGTAGATAAAGTGGTACCACTTCGGTGGGAAGGTGAAAGCGTTCCGTGCACCTCGGGATCTAGTCATGCCGGCCACATGGCCACGGAAACGTCTTCGGACAGCGCTGGCTCTTCGGCTTGGGAACGGAGATGAGCACCGCATCCCTAGAGTCGGATTCGACTGGCTTTCAAGTTTATCTTTAAATCACCCAGAGCCTGCTTACAGGGTGGCTGATTCATACATTTAATACATAACAATAAGAACAACAATAGTAATAGAAATAAGAAGGAAGGAAGTCCATTTGGAATCCCAACACTGGCGTGAATGGCAGCCCATTCCAGCCTTTTCTCAACCATATTCCAGAGATATAACCAACTTCTGCCGATTGAAACGTTAAAAGAACATTTTGTGCCGCTTTCTGTTACCAGGCAGGCCGCTCAGGCACTGTGCATTTGCCTCTGAGGCAGTCTGCTGAGTCATGGTGACTTTGACTCACTCCAGGAGCCCCTGGAAGGTCAACTGAGGTCGCCCGCACAGGATGGATGCTGAGCAATGCTCCCTCTAAGCTGTGGAGTCCTGTGAGCAAAAATTCTACTTTGTGAGCTCCTGGCATTAAAGTTGTGAGCGAGCGATTGGGCTGCTGTGTAAATTAGTTTGCTCTGGAGCCCTCCTTCCTGAGCAAAGACAAAAAATCTGTGAGCTGGAGGCTAAAAAACTGTGAGCTAGCTCACACTGACTCAGCTTAGAGGGAACACTGATGCTGAGTCAGGGGCTGAAACCAATGTGCAGGTGTGTATAAAGCGCTGCCACGCTGACTTCTCATGGCGACCCCCTCGTGGGGTTTTCAAAGCAAGAGACAAACATTGCCCGCCTCTGCGTGGCAACCCCGGACTTCCCTGTTGGTCTCTCATCCGAGTCCAAGCCACGGCCAGCCCTGCTTAGAACTCCTGAAATCCACAGATGCTTAAATGTCCAGAGGGTTACAAGCAACGCACCCTCTATGCTGCGGAGTCTCGTGAGCAAAAATTCTACTTTGTGAGCTACTGGCATTAGTGTTGTGAGCGAGCCATTTGGCTGCTGCATCAATCAGTATGCTCTGGCACCATGCTTCCGGAGCGGAGACAAAAATGTGTGAGCCGGAGGCTGGAAAACTGGGAGCTAGCTCACACTAACACCGCTTAGAGGGAACACTGGAGAGGATACACTTGCCCAGGGGTCATTTCGTAGAAAAAGAAGTGCAGGAGCTCATTATCATAACTTATTAGCATAACATTTGCATACGCAACACACACCCTGACATCACCGGAAGTGTGTCAGAAGGCAATACCCACTGTTCAGGCTCTACTTAACTGTTTTGGATTGCTAGCTATTGGGGGGGGGGGGCGTGCA